ACTAGCAACCAGTCTTGTCATTATAGAATGTCATGCTACTAGCAACCAGTCTTGTGTCATTATAGAATGTCATGCTACTAGCAACCAGTCTTGTCATTATAGAATGTCATGCTACTAGCAACCAGTATTGTGTCATTATAGAATGTCATGCTACTAGCAACCAGTATTGTGTCATTATAGAATGTCATGCTACTGCAACCAGTCTCATGTCATTATAGAATGTCATGCTATTAGCAACCAGTCTCCTGTCATTATAGAATGTCATGCTACTAGCAACCAGTTTCATGGCCTTAATGACATATTATTCTACTAACAAATGGTTCTGTGTTGTGTCACTCTACAGGTTTATCTGGGAAAACAAAATGAAAAACTATTAAATTCAAACAAATGATTAAAGGGAATAATCTATAGGTTAAAAATTAAAGTTGTAAATAAAACAATTAGCAACTACAATTTAAAAACCTATTTCACCTTTAAGCTTGTTACTTTTGCATCTAGGTGAAAGTTTGTAGATTACTTAAATTGTTGTTATCTTTCAAACCTACCCAATAAACTCATGTCTTCCATAGTTTTCTAATTGTTTAATATTTATAGAGGCTTCCAAATGGCGAATGAGACGTTTTTCATATTAAAAATGTCCAAAGCAGGAAAACATTGCAAAAAAGCTCTCTTAAAGCATAAGATATTTGTTTAATAGATTCAGAAAATGTTTACTTGCCTATATTCTTCAACTAGTGAATGATACTTATGAAGTTCTTGGATAATCTTAAGATTTCAGTTTCCTCAATCGCTGCACACATTGAAGTAAGTGTGATATAAAATATTATTTCACCAGTTGAACCACACATTGTTATCTTAATGTAAATCTTTCAACATAAGTAAAGAAAGGTGCAGTCAAGTAGAATATGACATTTATTATGTGTGGATGTCTTTTTATAAGCTGGTGAAACATGATTATAGTTAAATATACACACCGTGGTCACAAGTAAATAGACACCACCTTTAAAGAAAAAATGAAAAATTTCAGTCATATT